AATCGAAGAAAATGGAATATATACTACAGCAATGTGTCAGAATGCCATTCAAAAACCTATTCAATAATGATATTCACAACATGGAAAACACCAGTACCGAGAAGAATTAGAGGAATTCAGGTCAAAAAAAAATATATATTTCACAATTGAACTTTTGCAAAATGAACTGATATCTGTAAGGAACACGCAATGTCATCAGACCTTCGGTCACAAGATTTTACAGCAACTTATGTAAGTGCAACTTTTTTTCAAGCAATCTCAATTTTGAAAAATCTATCCTAAATAATGATGTTGCACGAAATCAATAAGGTAAAAGAACGAAAAAATTAACTAACCTCTTCTTTGTTCCATACTCCAAATTTTCCATACAAGATATCATGATAGAGTTTCTCTAGATAACAAAGTTGAACATTTTCTAGCTTGTCCTCATTGAATGAATCTAACAGCCACTTCTTTGCTTTATTTGTGTTATTACTATCCAACAGAATATCCACTTCAGCAACTTAAAGACGTTTCATTAACAAATAAATATCTAATTAAATAACAGCAACCTATAAAAGGGTAGACAAAGGTAAACCAAAATAACTTTAATAAAATTATACCAGCCATTCGATGAGGTAAAGAATTTGGATATTTGCTTTTATATTCGATGTTCAGCTGCTCAGCGGACTGCACAGATGGGAACAAAGTTTCTGTTAACTCTTTTGCTAGTGCACCAACATTGCCGCTCAACTGTATACCAGTATCTGTAAAAAAGATTAAAAAACCAGAAAGTTCATTGTCATCTACAAAGAAAAAGAAAGTAAAATGAATTCCCCCAGAAACTAACAGAAATGAAGATATTTAGATGATACAACGTGTACACGTGGATCGTCCTTCCCCATCTTCATTAGCTTATTCAAACACTGCAGCATCAATAGAATCTAGAAAATTTTACTTTTCATTGTTAAGCCACTATATACAAAAATGTAGGTGGTAAAGAAATTTCGACAAGTATAATTTTTGATTTTACATTAATGGTTTTGTAACAAATGAACTAATAAACGCAGCTTACGCTTAAACAATGTTAACCTATAATT